CTGCACACTACCTCCTAAACTCCTCTCCTTTTTAACGAGGAATTCCTGCCTCTAATGTTCCACGACATAAACTTCATTTATAAACTTCCAATGCCCCAGTAACGCTCTTGTCATCTTGAACGTTAAATTCCAAGTTCATCTCCCTCTATCGGCCCTTGCTGCTAACCGACTTGGCTGCACCATCTATACTCTCCTTCGAACCTTTTTAAGGTTCTGATAATTTGACTTGCATATTCTAAAGCAAATACCTGATTTTAACGCACTCCACTTTCTTCCCTTCGATCGACATTGAACACTGATTCAAACCTAATAACAGCTTATTATCATCCTCTGGGAATAGCCTGACCCTTCCCGTACTTGAATCCCTTTCGTCTCCGTCAATTCTCAAACCACTCCCCACCATTGCCTCGTCCACCCGAAACCCCTCCATATTGGCCCCCCAACTCACATGGTGCCATTGAAGCTAGAGAGGAAAGATTTACAACATTAGGGCTTAAAACCTGATCCTCATAAAGTTCACTAGAATTGTGACAATCCTGGCTCATGACAGCTAACTTCTCTAGATCATCATCAGTGGTGAGATATCTAACCTCTTCAATCCCCACAAACCCCTCTTAAGAGTCCCCACCATTGTTATTATCCGAAGAACAGAAAGAAGAGAGCGCAAACTATTATCCTCATCAGACAAAATAATTCTGTGATGTAGGATATCGAATTCTCCCTCAAAATCCGCAGATTCTTCCTCTGACATAACGTCAGTAATTCATTCTTTTCTTAAGCCGTCCACCCCTACGATGCTCTTCTTTGGTTGTCTAGAATGAAGATAAAATAAAGGAAACGGTTTAACACAATACTTTTCTTTCTCTTTCGCTGGAATAGTGTAGAACAGGACTCTCGAATTTTTCTTTTGGAACTCATCCTCCCATCTTTTTATTTTGGCTCTAATAAACTCTACCTGGTGTTTGGGCCTCCAACTAAGGCCCGCCTGGTTTTTTTAATATTCAGTGATTCAAAAGCTACCTTTCTCCAACCTCCTAAGTTCTGATCCACTGAAATAGCCCAAGTATAGGCCCAACATCAGACCGGGCCCATCACAAATATGTATCTCATCCTCTATTGATTCACCCAATATCTCGAATTTATAGGACACTAGTATACTCCGTTTTTTAATTGGTAGCAGAAACTGATTGGCTGCCGACCCAAGAATTCCCTAGAACCTTTTGCTTCTCTTGAAAGTGGTGGTTTTTCTAGGAATGAAGACACTTGGGCCGAAATGTTGGAGTGCATACCACGTTCCCCCCATTTGCTTGCCACGTGGGATCCATGTCGAGGTAGATGCCATGTCAGTTTTTTCTAACCACTCTTTGTCTCCAGCTTCACGAGTTTTGCAGACTACATTGAAGCTTAAACTTCTAAGCACCAGAAATTCTGTCCTGGTGCCAATGGTTCTGATCTCCTCAACAGAGTCACTGTCGCGGCTCACAGACTCGATACCAAGGTCCTTTATCTCACAACCCTTCTTTCTTTCGCCACTCCAGAATTCTCTTCAATGCTTCTGAAAAGCATTCCCCTTGTTCTGCCATTAGACATCATGGTCTAAGGGTTATTGTTCTCCAAGTTAAACAGCCTAAGACAAATCCTTTAACCCTGACATGGACGCTCAAAGTTGGCGACATGAAACCTTCCTTGAACCCTCTAATCTTTATCTTGGCAAATAAAAGAAAAGATTGATCTAAGGTTTCCTTGGCAATGTCTAGAAGACCACCACAAGTGTCGCCTATAACTTAAAAACGTGATAGTTCCACATATTCAAAGGCAGCCCCTCAAAGTCGTTTTAGGCCCCTAAAGTTTACTTTTCACTTTAAATGCATATAGTCTTTCAAATTTTTTTTTTTCATATTTGCCCCCCTCTTACTAACCAAAGTTAAATATGTCTACTAAATTTAATTTCATATGGTGTTTATCAATATGAAGTGATCTCAAACAAGACAACTTTTATTAAATGACCCATTAATATAATTGTCCTCAACAATGTTTTTAAAAGCGCCTGAGGCTTACGCCTCAAGGCCCGCCTTGTGGCGAGGCGCTGAAAAAACGCCTCAAAGCTTATGCTTTGAGGGTAGGGGAATGAGGCTTACGCCTCATTCATGTGAGGCCCATGCCTCAGGGCTACGCCTCAAGAGGCGCATGAGGCTAACGCCTCTTACTTTGAGTGTTTTTTTTTTTTTAGTTCTTTTAACCTAATTGATGTTGGGACCAAACTTTTAAGGAAGCCAGAGTTGACTAAGAACCAAAGAAAAATCAGAGAATGGTTGCCTCCTCCCTTCTATTACATTGTTTCTCTCTCTCCTCTCCCTTTTCTTCGCTCAGCCAAATAATGATCAACAATTAAATATCTTCGTTTTTTTTTTTTGAAACAAAGATTCAATATCTTAATCATGGATTTAAAAAGCGCCAGAGGCGCACGCCTTTGAGCGGCGCCTCAGGCGGTTAGTGAGGCATCCGCCTCTCTGCAAAGGGTCTTCTGGCGGGTTATTTTAACAGACTGGCCCAAAAGTTTTAAAAAGCCCAAAGTATCCAGGCCCTTAATGGCTAAGAAAAAACCCTAATAACAAAAGAAGCAGCCAGCCACTTGCACAGTCGTCTCTCCTCCTTCCTGGCACGGGCAAACACTCTTCTTCTTCTCTTAGTAGTGATGATGATTGATGAGTTGGGAGATTAGGCTTTTAGAAGTGCATTATGAACCTTATGATATTAGGATTTGATAATTATAGTCTTTTTTACGCTTCTAGTAGTGAAATAGACTTCTCTATATGTGGATGTTTGGTTAAATTTCTTGTTTTTAATGATTATTAAGTATGGATTCAGTCTTTGTTAGTATTTTTTTTTTTCCTAAATTTTTTATAGGCATTTTTTGAGGCTTTCGCCTCAAAGCGCCTTGAGGCTCATGCCTCACCTCGTACAGGCAAAAAGCCTTAAGGCCCGATTCCGCCTTTTAAGACCTTGGTCCTCAAATGTATCCCTTTCCACACAACCCTATCAATTATTGTTTTCTCATAAATACTTCTTCTCTAGTTTGCCCTTATTCAACTAATATTTATTTCAAATGTGTCCCTGCTTAATCATTCTTTTTATTATAGCACTCAACTATTAGATCTTCGTATGTACTTTCTAATAATTTTGCCCACTAAAATGTTTATTACTTAAATATGTTCTATGCTTGTCTATACATGTATAATATTAGCCCGAAACATATTTTGATTGACAATGTTCATTTCATCCATTCTACTACATTTTTTCTTGTGAACTAACGAATGAAAACTAAAAAAGAGGGGGGGGGGGAACTCTTCACAAAATTTTATATTTAAGCAACAAATTCAATAAACTAAACATGTGTGTGTGTAATACACGCTTCCAATTAGTTAATAGTTGGAGTTGATATTTTAAGGGTTTTTAATATTTTTCATGTTCTTAGTTTTGCCTCCTGAACTAAATCCTGGCAGCTTCGCCACTGATCCTAATCCAACTATTTCTAGCCTCAATTTGAATGACCTCCCAATGAGAGAACAAAGACCAAGGCTTCATTATGGCTACAGGACTCCTAGAAAACAAAGTTTTTTCTGTCAACAACGAACCTCACTCCAACTCGTCCCTACACCAAGTAACTGCCCTATCAGTTGCCAGAGGAACTAACTCGGTTGACCGCTCCAATTTGCTTCTAAGTAATTCTTCAATGACTTCCCACTCTGATTCCACATTCTTCCTGTAAACTACCACCGCCGTTTTCCAGGACTTGATCAGATCTGTCACCTCGTTCTTAGTTGTGGGGATTGACCTCTGAAACTCTCTACCCTGAATCCATGGAGGGAAAGTTCTGTGATGAACTTCTTGGACTGCCTTCCAATTTTGGTGATTACCAACATTATCTCTTGTGAACCTGGATCTTCCTGCCTCCTTTAAAGCCTCCCCTTTCAAATCTACCTTGTTGTTCCACCTTCCAGATGAAGATGAACCGCCAAAATCTCTCCCCAACAGTGCATCCAGCATGGCATTCATGATCGACCAACCAGATTTGTTTCTATCACTTGATAGAAATAAATTTACAACTACGCCCCCTTTAATCCTCATTCTAGAAACTTGCCTTTGGCATTTGCTAAAATCTCCACCAATAAGGTCATTGAGGAATTGGTGAACTTGAATTTAAAACCTTAACCAGCTTCTGAATTGCAGAAAATCTCCCGTGTATCACTCAACCAAAAGCAGCATCTATGGAGCATGTAAGAAAGAACCTGTGGTTTTGCTTTTGCTTGACCTCCGCAAACTAAATATAACCCCGAAATTGGCCTAAAGTGATTGTAAAATACTTCGAACTAATCCTAAACTCCTGTTTGAAGTGATTGGAAGTAATCGAATTCATGATAAAAGACTTATAAATCACAGACGAACGTTTAGACTTCTGGAGAGAAGGGAGACCATCTCTCTCCTTGCACCAAAGTTTGAGAAGTATAGAATGTGCACACACCATACCATGATTTAACTTTAAAACGATCAAAACTATCAAGACAAATAAACATTTTAATACCATCACATTGAATTTCGATATCCCTGAGTACATGTACCGGAATCTAGTGAATATGTACCGTAGCATTGAATCTAGTGAAAATAAGTAATTAATCAGAAACGATAAAACACACAAAGGATCAACTTTTATGGATGTTTAGTGATGGGTGCTTGTTAATAATAGAAATAGTTAACTGAATATACCACATGCCTATAAAAAACCTTTATAGAAAATGTTAAATTCTTTAGACTTGTATTGAAGAGCATATAGCAGCTTGTTAGAAGTGAAGAATTCATTAGTTGACCAACAAAAAAAAAGGAAGGGAGAGAGAGACTCATATGATGTTTGAAAAGAATTCATCGCCTTATTTCATTCACTGTGAAAAGTGTATACGTTCAAGATTCATCATCAACAACATTAAATACTCAATTTCCCATACCTTTTGCATTTCGCCTATGCTTGCACAAGGGACATTCGGCATACTTAGTCGAAGTGAGAGATAGCATCATTCCACACAAGTCGCAGAACATGAAATCACGACCTTTATAATACGCCATTATGATTCTCAGTCACTGCAAAAAGTAGTCAACACTCAGTTGATAGGACAAATTCATAATTTTCCGATGGATAGGCATATTGTGGGGGGAAAAAGTTTCTTCTTTTTATTTATTTATTTATTTATATTTTTTGAGAAGAAAGAAAGTATCAACACAATCCATGGTGGAAAGAAATTCAACCAAATAATGTCTTTTTCTATCCAAAGAGCAAGTAAGAATAAATCACGTGATGTTACGAAAACAACACATGAGATTTTTTTAACTGCCTAGAAGAAGAATAAAGACATAAAGACCATAAGATCAAAAGGCATCTATGAAAAAGTATAAAAAAAAACTAGATTATTGAAATTTTAAGAAAACAAAAGGGATGAACTTATCTCATATTAAGATAGGATTGAGATGACTTTGGAATATGAGTTAGCAAAATGTTAATAAGGATATCAGGATTTATATTCAACCAAAGTTGAATGCTAAACCGCAGTTAAATTACTAGCATAGTAGAGGATTGCAATATTCAACCAAGGTTGATTTTATTTTTTTATTTACTTTATAATTATATTTTATTTTTTTATTTTTTTATTTATGTAAGAGGGAGTAAGGAAGAGAGGCCTTCCTTACCATCCTCTTTTTAATACATAGGTAAGACACTTAGGGAATCAAAACCACTAAAAACCAGTAATAAAAATAAGACTAGTTGTGATAAGATATAAAAACAGTTAGACTTTTGAAATATAAAAGTAACTAATGAAATGCAGTTATCCTAATAAGGGGAAATTTTTTAAAACGTTTGAGAATGAAACAGAGGGAAAATTTTTTAATAACTGCGGAATTACAGTTGTTTTCTTAGGAATAGATTAGTAAGAATCTGTTTCCTGATTTAGTCTTAGGCAACATAATTGCATAATGATTTTAGGGCTTAATTGTAGGTTTGACTTGTTAGCTTATTTCCTATTTTATCTGATTGCCTTTTTTATTTGGAGATTTTTTTGTCTTAATTATAGGAATTGAGTTGGCAAGATTGTTGCCTTCCTCTTCCTTTATATTGTCATGTATTCTTTACCCTTAAATATACAAGAATAATAAGAATTTCTCTCAAAAACAATCCTAAAATCTAGATGGCATTAGAGCTGGTCCATTCTTGGCCTTGCTCTTATCTTTGGTTCGACAACCCAAAATCATAACCTTTCTTTATGCCAAAATACGGCCCAGCAACCGGAATGGCCACCGAAAAAGAAATCTCTACTGCCGCTCCCAATCAAGAAACTATTAGTCTAAACAATCATGAGGGAATGGACAGCACTCATCTTCTCATTACCAGTCATAAATTAAATGAAAAGAATTTTCTCTAACCAAGTCAGCCATCTACTGTTATTGGAACCGGTTTACTTGCTCAAAAAGGTAATTTTCTCAACGTCTTAACTGTGAAACAAGAAAAAGCGAGTTCTTAGATTATTGACTCAGGGACTTCAGACCACATGACTGGGAATGATAGTATGCTTCGCAATTATTCTCCTTGTTCCCACAATGTCTCAATTAGGATTGCTGATGGGACTCTTTCAAAGGTGGCAGGCATAGGCTCTGCGGTCATCTCAAAAGAATTAACTCTTGATACAGTACTCTTGGTCCTAAACCTTGATTGTACCTTACTTTCTATAAGTAAACTCACTCAAGACTTAAACTGTATCACTCAATTTTCCTCCACCTCATGTGCTTTTCAGGACTTGGATTCAGGGAGGACGATTGGCAATGCTAGAATGTGTGCGGAGCTCTATTTCCTTGAGATTGAAATGAAAAGGACAAGCTCATTCAGCAATCTGTGTGCCTCTGCAAACAACTTCAAGTTTGTCTACTTCATATGCTAATCAAAATAAAGATAGTGAAATACTGATGTGGCACTTTCGTCTTGGTCACCTTAATTTCATGTATCTTGCTAAACTTTTTCCGTCTCTTTTTGGCAATAAAAATCCGAAACTATTTCAATGTGAAGTGTGTCAGTTGTCTGAGCATGTTTGCAATTCATATCCTAGCATTCCATACAGATCTTCATAACCTTTTTCAATGATTCATAGTGATGTGTGGGGACCATCTAGAATTAAGAATATAATCGCGTCTAGGTGGTTTGTGATATTTGTGGATGATCATACTCGAGCTACTTGGCTTTTTCTAATGAGAGAAAAATCTGAGGTTGGGAAAATATTTCAAAACTTCAACATGATGTTTCAAACCCAAATTTAAGCAAAATTCATATTTTTTGAACTGATAGTGCCAGAGAATATTTTGCTACCCATCTTGGGGATTATCTTTTAAATCAAGGGATTGTTCATAAAAGCTCATGTATTGATACACCCCAACAAAACGGAGTGGCAGAAAGAAAAAAGACACCTTTTAAAAGTTGCTAGATCCTTACTCTTTACCCCACATGTTCCTAAATAATTTTTGGGGAGAAGCAATTCTCACATCAGCCTACCTTATCAATTGTATGCCCTCATAGGTTCTTGGCTACAAAACAACGTGTCAGGCGCTCCTCGAATTTTTTCCCAACTCTCGACTCATTTCCACACTTCCTTTGAAAGTTTTTGGATGCTCGGCCTTTGTTCATATTAGTCCATCCCAAAGAAGTAAACTGGATCCCAAGTCAGAACAATGTGTCTTTCTCAAATATTCATCCACACAAAAGAGTTACAAGTGTTATTCCCCAAGAAACGACGCTTCTTCACTTCTATGGATGTGACTCTCCTTGAAAATCAATCATACTACCCCAAAACTGACATTCAGGGGGAAAGTGAGTCCAAACAAGATGAATATCAGTTTTGGGAAAATTTGTGTCAATCGAGTCCGAGTCCTTTCATTCATTCTACTCCCTCAAGTTCCTCAAATTCTCTCTTGAGTCCCGTAGATTCTCCAACTCCTAAACTTGTTTTGAGTCCTGTAGATTCTCCAACTCCCAAACCTTTCTCATCTCGCTTGAGCCCCTTAGATTCTCCAACTCCCGTACCTATCTCACCTGCAAGAAATCCCTCAAATTCTCCAACTCCTGAAACTGTCTCACCTACAAGAAATCCCTTAGATTCCCCAACTCCTGAAACTGTCTCACCTACAAGAAGCCCTCATCTGAGCTTCCAAAACATTCGAAGTCTCATATGCAGCCAAAGTATCCCTCCTTCACCTTCACACTCAGAAGCAGAGCCGCATACACATCCTGTGCACACTTAAGAATCTAAACCAAGTCCAGGTAACTCTGATAAACTAACTCCTCTTGAGATGCCATACAATGATCTTGGTTGGCCTATTGCATTAAGGAAGGGTGTCAGGTCTTGTACCCGACATCCTATCTCTAAATTTGTTTCTTATGAGCTCTATCTCTTGAGTATTGTGCTTTCGTCACTGAACTTGCTACTACCGAAATACCCATCAACACTTCTGAAACAACCAAGATGGAGAACAGCGATAGAAGAAGAAATTCGGGCACTTGAGAAAAATGGAACTTGGTAATTATCAGAACTACACAGAGGAATGAAACCTGTTGGATGCAAGTGGATTTTCACCATCAAACATAAAGTAGATGGAAGCATAGATCGATTTAAAGCTCGGTTGGAAGCAAAAAAGGGGTTTACTCAGTCCTATGGAATTGACTACCAAGAGACATTTGCCACTGTTGCAAAACTCAACACCATTCGAGTCTTATTATCTCTTGCTACAAATCTTGACTGGCCTCTTCACCAACTAGACATCAAAAATGCCTTCCTCAATTGTGATTTAGAAGAAGTGTACATGGAAATTCTTCCTGGGTTTAAGACTAAACAGAATACAAACAAGGTGTGTAAACTCAAAAAAATCCCTATATGGACTCAAACAATCTTCTAGAGCCTGGTTTGACAGATTCACGAGAGCTGTGAAGAAATATGGCTACTCTTAATGCCAATTTGATTATACTCTCTTCATCAAACAATCTCCTTAAGGTAAAAGGTCCATTCTAATTGTCTATGTTGATGATATTGTGCTTACAGGAGATCATGAAGAAGAAATAAAGGCTCTCAAGCAATTCTTAGCTCAAGAATTTGAAGTGAAAGACTTGGGGCATCTTAAGTACTTCCTAGGGATGGAAGTTCCTCGGTCCAAAAAAGGAATCTTTGTTTCTCAACACAAGTATGTCCTAGACCTCGTTAAAGAAACTAGTATGCTTGGATGTAAGCCTTTAGACACTCCCATGGACTCAAGTAAAAAATTGGGAGCAAGAAAAGAAAGTGCTTCTGTTGACAAAGGTAGATATCAACGCTTGGTAGGAAAACTGATATAACTCTCACACACGACCTAACATTAGTCCTCAGTCAATGTTGCCTGCCAATTTATGAACAACCCAACTGAAGAACATCTAGAAGCAATATATCGAATTCTAAGATGCCTAAAGAAGACCCCGGGAAATGCTTATTCTTCAAGAAGCTGGAAAATAGAGAGGTTAAGATCTTCACTAATTCTGATTGGGCTGGGTCTATCACAAATAGGAGATCCACCACTGGTTATTGTGGCCTCGTTCAGTTCGCTGATTCGAGTTTTCAATTCGAGCTGAGATGTGACTTTATGTGAGAGCTTTTAACTGTAGCAAAAAAGTTAGATGTGAATGTTTGTAAGAGCTTTTAACTGTAACAAAACTAGAATTAAAAACTCGAATCGGTGAAATGAACGAGGCCTGTATATATGTCTGGGAAAATTTGGTCACTTGGCGAAGCAAGCAACAGTCAGTTGTGTCTCAGAGTAGTGTTGAAGCTGAATTTAGGGCTATGGCTCTTGGTATATGTGAAGGAATGTGGTTGAGGAAACTACTTGAAGAGTTAAGATTCTCAAATGAAGGACCTCTAAAGATGTTTTGTGACAATCAAGCAGCCAACAACATTGTTAAGGATCATGTTCATCATGATCGGACTAAACATATCGAGATAGATCGTCACTTCATCAAAGAAAAGATTGAGGCTAACATCATCATCTTTGTTACACGCCTACCAGAAATCAAATTGTAG